GGTCCGCCTAGAGGAGAGGATGACGCAGGGAAAGAATTCACATCGAAACAAATTAACTGATTGTACTCCTCCTAAATTCTAATCATTTCTCCACATCAGTTAAAGGGGCATTACACCCCAAACCAAAAATGTCCCATATTGCAGCTTACCAGTCATTCCACGTGGCGGCTGCATTCCTTTTCTTCTTTAAGGATCAGTTCACACTCATTTCAGTTGCTTTTTTTTTCTGCATCCAAAACGCACAGAAAGTAGGGGATATGGGTGTCAGTGTCATCGTTCACATCAGCGCTTGCAGTTCCAGTGCGTTCCGGGTGCAGAAAAAAGTAGAACCGGCTGCACTTTTTTTCTGCACAGAACTGTACTAAAATGCATCAAAACGCACCAGAATGCACTGGAACGCACATGTTCCCATTTAAATTGAAGAAAGAGAGGGGAAAAATTAACTAGAATGCGTCAAAAAAGCATCAAAACCGCACCGGAATGCATCAAAAATACACTGGAAAACGCATGTCCCCATTTACATTGAAGAAAAAGAGAGGGGAAAAGTAAGGCTGGGTTCACACCTACGCAGGTTGCGTTTGAGTAATTTCTGCATTGCGCTTTTGCCGTGTTTTGATGCGTTTTTTTTTCTGGTTGCTAGGCAGATTTGAAACATATTAAAAATGCAGAAAAAATTGCATCAAAAATGCACTTCATGCTTTTCTGCAGCTTTTCCATTGAGGTCTATAGAACCAAAAACGCAACGTTTTGCGTTCAAAAAAGTCCCCGTCCCTTTAAAAAAATGTGGAGATGTGAACACATCCCATAGGGAATCATGTAAAATGGACTGTACTGCGTTTCTGGAAAACGCTGCAGAAAATGCTTAGATGTGAACCTGGGGTGACTGGAATGCATCAAAAACGCACCGGAAAGCGTCAAAAACATGCATGCAGAAACGCATCTGGAACGTATCTGGGCTGCGGTCCTATGGTGTGATCTGCCCCTTAGTTTCTTTTTTCTGCATCTGAAACGCACAGAAAGTCGGTGATTTGGTTGTCAATCGCATAGTTCACATCAGTGCTTGCAGTTCCAGTGCGTTCCGGAAAAAATAAGCAGAACAAGTTGCACTTTTTTTCTGCACTGTACTGGAGAGTGGTACATCGCATCAAAAACGCACCAGAATGCACTGGAACACACCAAAAACGCACTGGAACGCACATGTCTGTATTGAAATTGAAGAAAGCGAGATGGGAAAAAATTAACTGGAACGCATCAAAAACGCACAGTAATGCGTCAAAATGTGCATATGGAAACTTAGGGCCGGTTTACACTACATGCATTTCAGTTGCTTTTTTTCCCCCGGGCATAAAAGTCTTCTATACACAAAGTGCACGACTATCCTCACCAGATCTTCACATTTCCTCTCCAGTTCTTCACATTTCCTCACCAGATCTTCACATTTCCTCCCCAGTTCTTCACATTTCCTCACCAGATCTTCACATTTCCTCACCAGATCTCATATTTCCTCTCCAGATCTTCACATTTCCTCACCAGATCTCACATTTCCACACCAGATCTTCACATTTCCACACCAGATCTTTACATTTCCTCACCAGATCTTCACATTTCCTCTCCAGATCTTCACATTTCCTCACCAGGTCTTCACATTTCCACACCAGATCTTCACATTTCCTCTCAGAGCTTCACATTTCCTCTCCAGATCTTCACATTTCCTCACCAGATCTTCACATTTCCTCACCAGATCTCACATTTCCACACCAGATCTTCACATTTCCACACCAGATCTTTACATTTCCTCACCAGATCTTCACATTTCCTCTCCAGATCTTCACATTTCCTCACCAGGTCTTCACATTTCCACACCAGATCTTCACATTTCCTCTCCAGAGCTTCACATTTCTCACCAGATCTTCACATTTCCTCTCCAGATCTTCACATTTCCTCACCAGATCTTCACATTTCCACACCAGATCTTCACATTTCCTCTCCAGATCTTCACATTTCCTCTCCAGATCTTCACATTTCCTCTCCAGGTCTTCACATTTCCTCTAAAGTTCTTCACATTTCCTCTCCAGATCTTCACATTTCCTCTCCAGGTCTTCACATTTCCTCTAAAGTTCTTCACATTTCCTCTCCAGGTCTTCACATTTCCTCTGAAGTTCTTCACATTTCCTCTCCAGGTCTTCACATTTCCTCTCCAGATCTTCACATTTCCTCTCCAGATCTTCACATTTCCTCACCAGATCTTCACATTTCCTCTCCAGATTCTTCCCAATAAGAATGTATTGCACATCATATCCTCTTCTTCATCTTCCACCCCACCAATTACACACATCATGTGATACGTGATACAGCCATGCGTGGAAATACAGAACACTGTGAATCGGATCCACCACAATCCACACTAATTACCCTCACGGTGGAAATGTGCAAATGATCAGGATATGGTCCCATGGAGATATCTTATCCTCCTGATTAAAGTGCGACTGTGAGACCATGCGACTGTGCAACCATGCAACCATGCGACCGTGCGACCATGCCCATGCTTCTGTGCGACCATGCAACCATGCGACTGTGCAACCGTGCGACCATGCTGTGCAACCGTGCGACTGTGCAACCATGCAATTATGCGATTGTGTGTCACCCACCTCCAGCATGCCAAGAAATCCGCCTGCTCTTCCCTCCCCCTCTAGGCATGCCCCTTACCCTGCATACATTGATATGTGCCTTACTAGTACTTACAAGTACTCAGTGCAATCTTCGCTCTTCTCCTGAACGATTCTTCATGAACTCTCCATCACCATATGACATCAAACATACAACCCGCAGCGAGCCGGAGTGTAAAATCGCCTATTTATTGGTATAATTGTGCTTACATAAAAGAAAAGTACAAACCGCCACTGTACCAAAATGGCCGCCGCGGCATTTCCAGCTACGACTGATGTCACTTTTGCCTGATGCGTTTCATCATCAAATTGACTTCCTCAAGACCCTCCCCCCCATCCTCTGCACCAATAGGAAAGGAGAGGGGCTGGATCTGCTGTGCCCGCCCACACTCCAGTCCGCAGAAGGGGATGTGTGGGCGGGAAATTGTATAAAGAGCAGCTGGCAGCTCACTGATGCTTCTGTTTGAGCATGTGAGCCAGGAACCATCCATGTGAGCCTGACCTTCCTTCCTTCCCTCCTTCCTTCCTTCCTTCCTTCCTTCCTTCTTCTTTTTCCTTCCTTCCTTAGTTCCTTCCTTCCTCCCCTTCCTTCCACCCCTTCCTTCCACTCCTTCCTTCCTTCCTTCCTGAGGGTCCTGCACCTGAGGAGTGTTCAGAAGCTCCTGCACCTGAGAGAGTGTTCAGAGGCTCCTGCACTTGAGGGGGGAGTATTCAGAGTCTCCTGCACTTGAGGGGGGAGTATTCAGAGGCTCCTGCACCTGAAGGGGGAGTGTTCAGAGGCTCCTGCACTTGAGGGAGTGTTCAGAGGCTCCTGCACCCAAGGGGGGAGTGTTCAAAGGCTCCTGCACCCGAGGGGGGGGTGTTCAGAGGCTCCTGCACCTGAGGGAGGAGTGTTCAGAGGCTCCTGCACCTGAGGGGGTGTTCAGAGAGTCCTGCACCTGAGGGAGTGTTTAGAGGCTCCTGCACCTGAGGGAGTGTTCAGAGAGTCCTGCACTTGAGGGAGTGTTCAAAGGCTCCTGCACCTGAGGGGGTGTTCAGAGGGTCCTTCACCTGAGGGAGTGTTTAGAGGCTTCTGCACCTGAGGGAGTGTTCAGAGAGTCCTGCACCTGAGGGACTGTTCAGAGGCTCTTGCACCTGAGGGAGTGTTCAAAGGCTCCTGCACCTGAGGGGGTGTTCAGAGGGTCCTGCACCTGAGGGAGTGTTTAGAGGCTCCTGCACCTGAGGGAGTGTTTAGAGGCTCCTGCACCTGAGGGAGTGTTTAGAGGCTCCTGCACCTGAGGGAGTGTTTAGAGGCTCCTGCACCTGAGGGAGTGTTCAGAGGCTCCTGCACCTGAGGGAGTGTTCAGAGGGTCCTGCACCTGAGGGAGTGTTCAGAGGGTCCTGCACCTGAGGGAGTGTTCAGAGGCTCCTACACCTGAGAGAGTGTTCAGAGGGTCCTGCACCTGAGGGAGTGTTCAGAGAGTCCGGCACCTGAGGGAATACAGTCTAAAGGGAGAAGCAAGTGATCTAACAAGTAATAACCGTGAGAAATGAGCTGATGAAGAAAGGAAAAGTGCAGGTTTTTTTTAAGTGGAGTTTGCAGGGATCATCTAAAGGTGGATAGAGTAGGAGATAGTTGGACAGATTGGGGTAGGAAGTTCCAGAGGATGGGAGAGATCCTGGAGATGTCCTGGAGGTGAACACGGGAGAATGCGATCAGGGATCTACAGAACAGAAGGTCTTGGAAGGAGTAGAGAGGACAGTCTGGGTGCTATTTTGAGATGAGGTTGGTGAAGAAGCGCAGGACAAAGTCGTGGATGGCTTAGTATGTTGTTCTTAGTGTTCTAAATTGCAGTTGTTGGGTGATAAGAAGCCAGTGGAGGGATTGGCAGAGAGGGGTGGAGGTCAATGAATGAAGCCAGTGGAGGGATTGTCAGAGAGAGTAGAGGTCAATGTACGGAGGCCAGTGGAGGGATTGGCAGAGAGAGGTGGATAACTCTGATCAGAGACCAATGGAGAGATTGGCTGAGAGGAGTGGAGGACACTGGGTGGATGGTAAGGGAGAGAAAAGCCCTGGAGGTGAACATGGGAGAATGTGATGAAGGTTTTTGAGAGCAGGGGGTCTTGAGATGACTGGAGATCATGGTTTGAGTGGTACTATGAGATGAGGTTGATGGTGTAGCCCGGCACAGAGTTGTTTGTATGTTGTTAGGATTTGGAATTCTGTTAATTGAGTGAGCAGACACCAGGAGAGGGATTGGCAGAGAGGAGTGGAGGACACTGAATGAAGCTAGTGATGGGATTGGTAGAGAGTGGTGAAGGATACATAGTGGAGGCCAATGGATGGATTAGTACAGAGGGGTGGAGGACACTGAGTGGAGGTCAGTGGAGGGATTGGCAGTGGAGGAGTTGGCAGAGAGAGGGATTGGGGAAAAGGGGAGGACACTGAGTGGAGGTCAGTGGAGGGATTGGCAGAGGGAGAGGGGGTGGAGGACACTGAGTGGAGGCCAGTGGATGGATTGGCCTAGAGGGGTGGAGGACACTGAGTGGAGGCCAGTGGAGGGATTGGGAGAGGGGGGTGGAGGACACTGAGTGGATTCCAGTAGACGGCATTCAAGAAAGACTGAAGAAGGGATAGTCTGTGTTGAGGTGGGGCTATGAGAAGAGAGTTTCAATGGTGAAAATGAGATAACAAGGGAGGGAATTAGTGCCTTGGTGGTGTCCTTGGTGTCCTTGGTGGTGTCCTTGGTGGTCTCCTTGGTCAGGGTCAAATTGCAGAACTGTCACGGAGATGAAGGTGGCAAGATTATGGGCAGTGATTGGATGTGGGCTGAAGGAGCGCTCAGAGTCCAGGATTACACCAGGCACCCTGATGTAAGTGAAGGAACTGATATTGGTCACAATAAAAATGTATCTATTAAAAATTTCAAAACGAACAACTGTAACAAAAGGGCAGAAAGTGTCATTTGAGGAGTGGACTCGCCCAGTATCAGGAAACGTCTCATTCCCCGGTAGAGGTGTGTGTGCCGATCTGGGTGCAATGTGCAATCTAAGGAGCATTGGGTTGCCTGTCCTGTGTTTCTGCTGCATTCTGGAACAGAGAATATCAGGACCTCTGCGCTCTGACATGAGTGGTTTTGGTAAATTTTATATTTCTGTACAGGATGTAGGGGATGCGGAGCTGGACCTGGAAGCCATAACAAAGGCTTGAACATTGCTGAGCCTGCTGTGACCCCCCCATACAGGGGCCCCTGATTCACACGATGGAACCAGGTGAATACCAATTCTCTGTGAATGCAGAGTATCTCTTGTTTTTCCTCATGCAGCATATGTTTTCAGTGAGCCCAGAAGCATGGAGATCCCCAGCGGAGCACAAAGAGAGCAGAAATAATTATCATTTTAATTGTGTTGTTGAAAATTCTCTGGTTTCAGATGGAGCTGGAGGGGAACAATAACTACTTCTGTGATTAGAAAGGAAAGGAGGACAGTGTTTAAACCCGTCCTGTGTGTGTGGGGTCTGTTCCATCACTCGGGGGCTCGCAGGTGACAGACGGATGGACCCGTTCATTGCCGGGAGAGCGACATTCAGCTGTCACATGAAATGATTAGATTATCCACTGAAAGCATGCCGTAGCTTTGCTAATAGTTCAATAAATGCAGATAGAAGAGAGCAAATATTGAAGAGCGTCTTCATTTCTGCAATTCTTTGATGGTGAGAAGAGATGGACTACCGGAACCGGCACTTGGATTGTCTGTGTATGACAGGAGGAGCGGGTTTTGGAACGGTACTGTGGACCCGGATATGCTGCTTTTATTGTATAAAAATAAATAAACTTGCGCCGCAGAAAAAATATATATTCTAAAATCAAAATATAAATGCTGCTGTTCAAGAAAGGAAAAAAAAAACAATCAAATATAAATAATATAAACACTCCACAGCGCAAAAAAAATTATTACATTAATAATGTGAAAAAAAGTCCAAGTAAAGTCCAAAAAATATTTAAAAAAAATATATAAATTGTGCTCAATCCCCAAAAAACAGTGCTCAAAAATTATTCAATAAAAATGGGCTCACACCATCCGTGATTAGTGGGGATTGGAGCATTTACCTCCCTAGCGGTCTGATTATGTCAGTATTTCTGTGCTCAAAGCGGTACATTTTTTTTTGCATGGAAATATGTTGTTTTTTTATTGTCGGCCTGTAATTCTTAGGAATAACTCACTGAAATCTGTCCGGACAAGAGTCTAGTAAACATCCCGGGGAGGATAAAATTTGAAACAAGAAATCATAAATTATAATATACTAAATATTCATAAAAAATGATAATATAATAATAAATTTAATTCAATAATATAATCAAACCAAAAACACTGAAATGTGAAATAGAGCGCCAAGTTCGCACATCGCACAACTGCTCCACTGATTACAGAAGAGCCCAAAAAGAACTAACTTTACCTAACATCCTAGCACCCAGCTAGGAGGATGGTACAAAAGAATAAAAGAATGATTGTAGCTTTCATGGCAGATCCAACCAGAGAAGTTTTCTGATAAGTCAAGTCTAGTATTGCGTGTGGTCTAACCTCCACCTCTGTAGCTTCATATTAGTGAAGACCTTGTTGACTGTTGGCAGCGGATACCAGAAAGCAAATGAAGGTCACCCATTGAGAATGAGCTCTTCAGAACAAGAAAAGGACAAGCCCTCATTTGCCGATTTACCACAGATGTACTTGTTTCCAGCACAATGTGTTCGTTTTTGTATAAGCTGACTGGTGACCACCTTGTCATTTAGAAATGCTAGCCTCACATTACCCCTCCATGCAAGCTTGGATGCATGGAGGATGTGCAGCAAACTGGAATCACAGGAGGAAGGAGGCCATGGCCCAGGGGTTGAGAACCTCTGTATTAGAGGGTCCAGTGACATCAACTCCGCCTTTTGGAAACCAGGTGTAAGGTGAGTATTTGCACTCTTCTTCCAATGTTTTATTATTGTAAGTCTTTCAATTAGCATTTGAAAGGGAAGGACGGGACTTTAACACACAGAAACTATTGAGAAAGAGAACCAAAACACCAATAAAAGACCCTATTTAATAATAAATAGTATTGTGTGTGGTCTAATCTTTACCAGTAGCTTCCTATTACTTGGGAAAACCTTGTTTGCTGCGGGCATTAAATACCAGAGAGAAAACAAAGTTAATCCATTTAGAATGTAAGCTCTTCAGAACAGGACAAACACTCAGTTGCTGATTTACGACAGACATATTTGTTTCCGGTACAGTTTGTTCACTTCACTAGGCTGACCGGTGACCACCTTGTCCTTTGGAACATGCTAGCTTCACATTACCCTTTGGTGCAAATTTGAATTCTGCTGGCATCTGGTCCCGGGTGGTGGCATATTCTCATGAGAATTGTGATCCTCAGCTTTACAGCATTGTATTATACTGGGATTCCCAACCCTCTTGGGACCAGTGCCTGGTAAATTCTTCCATTACCTTCCATGCCCCAAGAGTTAAAAAAAAAAGTTTATATTAACCCAAAAAAAGTTGGACATGAAGAGATTGTAATTATTGATTGTAATAAAATTCTGGTGGCTGGGGGTGTCATTGTAGGCTGGGAGCTCTTAGGGGACTCAGCAGAAGACGTGGTGACCCTGTGGGGGATGAGATTTCTGGAGGGAGCTGGGAGCAACTGTAGGGGATAAGGTCTCTGTAGGTTGTTAGGAGGTTGTGGGTTTTGCAGAGGAAATGTGGGAGACTTTGGGCACTGTGGGACACTGTTGAGGGCTCTATGGGGAGCTGGAGTCTCTGAAGAAAGCTAGGGGGCACTGTGGGGATCAAGAGCTCTTATGGGGTTCTGGGGGCACTGTAAGAGGTTGATGGGCACAGTGAGACACTGTGGAAGGTTGAATGGCACTGTGTGAGCTGGGAGGCACTCTGGGCTGACCGGTGACCTCCTTGTCCTTTGGAACATGCTAGCTTCACATTACCCCTTGGTGGAAGTTTGAATTCTGCTGATATCTGGTCCCGTGTGGTCACAGACTTAACTTACCACTAGTTGCTGTGAACATGTTTTTTTCCAGTTTTCATAAATCAGCCTTAGACATCCATGAGTTCTATACACCATAACTTTCTCGGAGATAGAATGATATTACAAATATACACTAAACCTTTTATAAAAAAACTTTTGACACTGGGCCTCGCCATGGAATCCTGGAAGGGTGAGAATCCCAAATCTCACAAAAAGCATCAACCTGGAGCACATTCTCATGAGAATTGTGATCCTCAGCTTTACAGCATTGTATTATACTGGGATTCCCAACCCTCTTGGGACCAGTGCCTGGTAAATTCTTCCATTACCTTCCATGCCCCAAGAGTTAAAAAAAAAGTTTATATTAACCCAAAAAAATGGACATGAAGGGATTGTAATTATTGATTGTAATAACATTCTGGTGGCTGGGTGTCATTGTGGGGGGGCTATTAGGGGACTCAGCAGAAGATGTGGTGGTGACCCTGTGGAGGATGAGACTTCTGGAGGGAGCTGGGAGTAACTGTAGGGGATAGGGTCTCTGTAGGTTGATAGGAGGTTGTGGGTTTTGCAGAGGAAATGTGGGAGACTTTGGGCACTGTGGGACACTGTTGAGGGCTCTATGGGGAGCTGGAGTCTCTGAAGACAGCTAGGGGGCACTGTGGGGACCAAGAGCTCCTATTGGGTTCTGGGGGCACTGTAAAAGGTTGATGGGCACTGTGAGACACTGTGGAAGGTTGAATGGCACTATGCGAGCTGGGAGGCACTCTGGGCTGACCATGGCCACCTTGTCCTTTGGAACATGCTAGCTTCACATTACCCCTTGGTGCAAGTTTGAATGCTGCTGATATCTGGTCCCCATGTGGTCACAGAGTTAACTTACCACTAGTTGCTGTGAACATGTTTTTTTCCAGTTTTCATAAATCAGCCTTAGACACTGGGATTTCCAACCCTCTTGGGACCAGTGCCTGGTAAATTCTTCCATTACCTTCCATGCCCCAAGAGTTAAAAAAAAGTTTATATTAACCCCCCCAAAAAATATGGACATGAAGGGATTGTAATTATTGATTGTAATAAAATTCTGGTGGCTGGGTGTCATTGTGGGGGGCTATTAGGGGACTCAGCAGAAGACATGGTGACCCTGTGGAGGATGATATTTCTGGAGGGAGCTGGGAGCAACTATAGGGGATAGGGTCTCTGTGGGTTGTTGGGAGGCTGTGGGTTTTGTAAAGGAAATGTGGGAGACTCTGGGCACTGTGGGACACTGTTGAGGACACTATGGGGAGCTGGAGTCTCTGAAGACAGCTAGGGGGCACTGTGGGGACCAAGAGCTCTTATCGGGTTCTGGGGGCACTGTAAGAGGTTGATGGGCACTGTGAGACACTGTGGAAGGTTGAATGGCACTATGCGAGCTGGGAGGCACTCTGGGCTGACCATGGCCACCTTGTCCTTTGGAACATGCTAGCTTCACATTACCCCTTGGTGCAAATTTGAATTCTGCTGATATCTGGTCCTGGGGTGGTCACAGACTTAACTAACCACTAGTTGCTGTGAACATGTTTTTTTCCAGTTTTCATAAATCAGCCTTAGACACTGGGATTCCCAACCCTCTTGGGACCAGGGCCTGGTAAATTCTTCCATTACCTTCCATGCCCCAAGAGTTAAAAAAAAAGTTTATATTAACCCCCCAAAAAATATGGACATGAAGGGATTGTAATTATTGATTGTAATAAAATTCTGGTGGCTGGGTGTCATTGTGGGGGGCTATTAGGGGACTCAGCAGAAGACATGGTGACCCTGTGGAAGATGAGATTTCTGGAGGGAGCTGGGA